GGGTTACTCCTAAGAATGTTGATGTTTCTGAAGTTGAAGTAGAAGAAGAAACTCATGTCAATAAAGAAGATAATGTAGCAACTGCCCAAGTATATAAAAGGAAGAAACAAAGTGAGATTGAAGCTTCAAAAAAATTCAAAGGTATTCTTAAATATAATGAATTATTTTGTATGTTACTATTGTCATTTTATAGCTAATGAAATATTAACTGATATAGGAGATAAAGGAAAAAATATTATAGATGAAGAAGAGTTTGAGGATGACTTTGACATTAATTATGAAGATTCTTCTGAAGACAATCAAAGTGATGACGAGCCTGCTTTGGGTCTTGATCTTAAGGGGATGTTTTATTTTTAAGTGAGTTTATTTTAAATCTTGTATTACAGTAATATTATCTTAAAACAAATCTTCAAATTCATAGTTGACATAATATTTTGTTATTTTTTGTCATTATTTATAATTTTAAATTAATTTATTTTAATCGTTTTGAGGCTTACGCCTCGATCCGCCTCGAGGCTTACGCCTCGCCTCGTTTGGAAAAAACACCTCGATTCCCGATTTCGCCTTTTAAAACCTTGATATTTATTGAGAGGTTTGATGAAGTATAAAGAGAATAATGAGGATCTACATATGATATTTATTGATTTAGAGAAAGCTTATGATAAAGTTCCAAGAGAAGTGCTATGGAGAGTTCTAGAAAGAAAAGGGGTTAATAATGCTTATATTCAAGTCATTAAGGATATGTGTGGAGTTACTTGTGTTCAAACATAAGTTTTAACCAAGTATTTTCCTATTTTAGTTGGATTAGATCAAGGATCAACCTTAAGCCTATATCTTTTTTGCTTTTGTCATGGATGTTTTCTCACTAGCCATTTGCAAGAGTTGTACCCTGGTGTATGTTTTTTGCTGATGATATTCTTCTTGTCAATAGTACTAGAGAGGGAGTTGAAGGTAAACTCGAATTAAGAGTCTAAAGGTTTTCGTTTTAGTAGATTTAAAATCGAATATATGGAGTATAATTTTAGTAGTAATAAATATAGTGTGGGAGATCGTGACTTTGGGCGATCAAGTCATTAATAAAAGTACACATTTTAGATATATCGGGTTTATTGTTTAGAGTGATGGTGAAATAGATGTGGATATTATTAGTAGAATTCAAGTTGGATGGTTGAAATTGAGGAATGCATTGGGTTTGTTGTGTTATAGAAAAGTCCCCATCAAACTTAAGAAAAATTCTATAAGATGGTTCTGAGACCTGCAATGCTTTATGGTGCAGAATCTTGGCCATTAAAAGAGGAGCATAATATTAAATTAAGGTTGTAGAGATGAGGATGCTCAAGTGGATGAGTGGCTTTACTCTTAGAGACATGATACAAAATGAGCATATATGTGAAAAGGTTGGAGTAGCTCTAATGGAGGATAAGATTAGAGAGAGTCACTTTATATGCTTTGATCACACAAAATGACAGCCTTCCGATGACCCGGTTAGGAGAATAGATGTATTGGATTTGACTTATGTTAAGAAAGATAGAGGTAGACCTGAAAAAATTTTGTTAGAAAATATTAGAAATGACATTTCTTTATTAGAATTAAATGAGAATTTGACTCTTAACAGAACATAATGGAGAAAAAAGATTTATGTAGCCGACCCCACCTAGTGGGATAAATGCTTGATGTTGTTATTGTTATAGAGAAAGCATATGATAAAGTTCCAAGAGAAGTGCTCTGGAGAGTTTTAGAAAAGGAAGGGGTTAATAATGCTTATATTCATGTCCTTAAGGATATATATGCAAGAGTTGTTAGTTGTGTTCAAATACAAAGTGGTTTGACCAAGTATTTTCCTATTCAGTTGCATTACATCAAGGACTAGCTTTAAGCCCATATCTTTTTGCTTTAGTCATGGATCTTTTTACTAGGCATTTCCAAGAGGATGTACCCTGGTGTATGCTTTTTGCTGATAATATTCTTCTTGTTGATAAGACTAGAGAGGGAGTTGAAGGTAAACTTGAATTATTAAGGTCAACCTTCGAGTCTAAAGGTTCTCGTTTGAACAGATCTAAAACCGAATACATGAAGTGTAATTTTAGCAGTAATGGATCTGGTGGAGAGATTATGACTTTGGGTGATCAAGTCATTAATAAGAGTACACGTTTTAGATATCTTAGGTCTATTATTCAAAGTGATGATGATGAAATGCATTTAATACTGTTTCTAGTCCAAAGTTATCTTGCCTTCTCACATTTTTTCATGGAAACTTTATTTTGTTATATCAATCAACAATGAAAGAAAGAAGCAAAAACAAATCCCTTGGTATAGTGGATGTTAGTAACTATAAATATACGTGCATGAACTACTTGGAAAAGAAGGTTCGGAAGAAACAATATTAATTTCCAAAGAAACCACCTTTTGGATTACTGTGAAATATCTTCCAGACCTATATCAATAGATGCTATGTTTATGCTAGTTCTTTGTTAATTTATCTCATCGGTATTTCATAAATATCTAAATTTGATTATTGTTATTCCAATTCTCGATGTGTTTCTGAATAAATTGCAGGTTCCTGTTGTTATGTGTCCCAAAGAAGGTTCATTCCCTGGACTTTACTGCTCTCATTTTCTTCCTTGTCCATGGCTTTCCGATGGATATACTATTATTCTGTCTTCTGCATGGCGTAGTACAGTAGCAATTCTCTCCATCAATATTTTGAGGTAACTTCTGTTTACCCTATGTAACATATTTGTTATTGCATGATTATGTATTATAATTCTTTTTTTGTTGATCCACAGCGGCCAAGTATCACGAATTAGTCCTGGTGACACAATTTATTCATGGGATGTTCTTGCACTAGATGGAGATGATATCCTTGCTGGTATTTCTGATTTTTATCATATTGTAAAATGGAAAAAATCTTTCTTCTTACTTAAACTTCTTCAATCTTAAAGTCACCAGCAGCCCAATAGATCCTCCTCAACTGAAGTATGGATCCTACACAAACCATATGGAACAGTCTTCATGGAATTGGCTAGATGTTTCTAGTCCAGTTGCTGGATGCTCTGATAAGGTTTCAGAATGTTTCTTTAGATATCTTAACTTTATTTCTCATTGAAGAGTTGTTATTTGTAATATGGGTTCAAATGATTTTACTGTTACCGTTGTATTATTTTGATTTTCAATTTTAATGCCACAGGTCAGATCTTTATTGTCTTTGAACCACTGTAGCATACTGGAAGTCCCCGTTAAGAATCCTTCTGAGACCCTTTCTGAAGGTAAGTTATAGCGTCGGGACAAATAGTTTTTTCTCTTAATGATGGTTTCATTATTATGCTTAGGCTTTTATATCTCAGTTATTTCAGATTAATAAGATATTCTGCTATTAGAATCTTTCAACACTGAAATTCACTGCCTTAGTTTCTTTATGTTGCAATGTCAGCGTCAAAAAAATCTTTTTGTTTCTCCTGTTTTTTCTTGAACCAACTTGTTTACAGAAGCAACTCACGCAAAACATAGCTTTGTCTGAGACTAATAAAATATGAGGCAGGAATCCAGGCATGCATGCATACTTCTGGGCATGTGCGGTCCCTCTTCCATACAGAAGAATACATGATATATCCAACATACAACGTAGCCCAAGACATATAGAATATGAGGCTGAAATCAATGGAGTAATCGCTTCAATTGCTTTTTAATTATGCCATTAATTTGGTAGGTCATAACTATTTTGGCGCTATGTACAGTCTAATTTCTGCCAGGTTCCTATGATTTTGGGGAACATGCCACCTCTTGGCATCCACTCCCGAAACTCGGGCCTCTAAGAAGTCCTTATCACCATCCATCAAGAAATCCTTGGAGACTGTCTTCCAGGTACTCTATATCGGTGACTCCTACTCGGCAACCACTTGCTAAGAAACTTGGTGACCTCACCCAATGAAGCCCATCTACTTGGCGCTCTTTCATAAGAACTTGTCTTCCACAAGTGTCCTTCTGCGACAAACTATTAGATAGCCTCATTGTCACCCCCAGAATCTAATCTGGAAAAAATATTCTTTTATCTTTTAATTTATACAACCAGAGCTACTTAAATACCAACATAAATAAAACTATCGATCAAAATTTCAATATATACATCTGTATTCATTTTCTTAAAAATTAGGTACACTACTCAGGATCTATACAATCATAACATATCTATCCTGCCTTGATTACAAAAGAATAACTAAAATAACAAGAACCTAAACCTTAATCTACCCAATCTGTCAAACTCACAATCAATTTCTACAGCTTCGGTACCCGTACATTGAAATACACACAGACCAAATGACTTCCGATTGCCAAATGGATTATGCCATTCACTACAGGAAATCGTCCATTACCGGCAAAAATTTTACGCAGTTTTTAAAATTTACGGTTATTTTCCGGTGGTTAAAACTCCGCCGGAACAAATCACGTAGGAAACTAACACTGCCGGAAATTCCCGACATAAAAGACCACATGGAAACCGTCGGAACTTACCGGCAGAAAGACCACAGGAAAACCGCCGGCGGCTACCGTGATCAAACCGCCATTATTTCCGGCGGCCATATAGAAGTTTTAGACAATACACTTCCTTATGTGTTCTTTATAGGCCTTTGGAGGAGTTATTGATGGATTTTATTTCAGGACTACCTAGGACAGCTCATGGTCATGATAACAATTTTTTAATAGTTGACAAGTTCTAAAAAAATGCTCATTTCTTATATTATTCTAAAATAAATGATGTGTCTTATATAGATATGTTATTCTTTAATGAAATAACATAACTCCATAACTCCATAGTTTCGAAAGTGAGCGAAACTACTTAAATGACTTGTAAGGTCAACAAGCATGACCTTAAAATCAAAAAATTTTTTTAACAACTTTAGAATAAACTTAGAAAAGCAAGCACTAAAAGTAGAACAAGCTGCTATAATAATTTACAACAAACATCTAATAATGTTCATTTTAACAAGATTGTAATATTTTACATATATATTATTTTGCAAAACCTTCACTCATATTATAAAAAATTCACTCATAACAATGTTCATGTTACAAAACTTTCACTTGTAGTAATGTTCATTTTACAAATCCTTAACTCATATTCAAGTGTAATCACTTTTCTAAAGGATGTAAGCTTAGTCATCAAGCGTTATAATGTTTTATATTTAAAACGAATAATAGCAAGGAAGAACAATGAAGGAAGGAGAGGAGACCACCTTCGGCTAAGGAGATGGAGATGAAGGCTGACGTTGGCTAGGCTAGGGTGAAAGGTTGGCTGGACTGCAGCAGGCGTTCTCTGGACGGACGGAATGAAACGAAACAAGGTGTTGAAATGAGGAAGAAGGGGACTGCGGGTTGGGAAATTAGGGTGAAAACCGATGGCATTTAAACCGCTGGAAATTTTTCACTTAAAACTGGCACTAGGACCACCAGCAATCACGTCATAGATAGAACTTTCCGGCTGTCAAGTATCGTCAGTATTGTCTGGCGGTCAGACAACCGGTATAATCGCTGTTTTTTTACCGGCGGTCCAACTACTAGTAATTCCGGCGGTCACTTGACCGTCGGAAATTCCGTCGGTATTGAGTGAATTTCATATAGTGGTTGCAATCAGAATGTCGAATTCACCTAAAAGGGATCAACTCACAGATGAATCGAAGAAAATTGACAAAATCGGCGATCAACACCCAAAATTGATTCGTGATGTTGCCCAAATGACATTCGATCGCAAAACGGACTTCGTTGTTGCATTTAGAACATCCGGGTCTTCTGAAATTGAACTTCATGATCATCCACACCTGTCTAAGCCACCCGGTAACTCTAACTAGCCGCATACCACCACAATCAAACCCAACACCTCATGCGAATCTACCAGCCTCCCGTAGCATCTGTCGACGAGGCTTGCACCGATCCTTCTGATCAAACTCCTTCAATCTCGCTAATATTTTATTAAGGCTTAGTTTGATATGGCTGCTGTTTCTATTTACAAAGTTAGTGAGAATCTCTTGTTAGAAAAATTGTGATGGAAAGTTTCTGCTAGAAAAGCCCGTTCGAACCCCCACAACTCCGGCAACCCCTTCTAGATCTCCGAACCTCACACCTGTTGTGTCGACCTTGACCCACGAGACCAACTCCTCACATGAAGAAGTCGACGAACCTCGACCAATAGCTCACCTTCGATTGATCAAACCTCCCACAGCTCCACCTGCATTCTTCCTCTACCCGTCGCACTTGACCACCCAAAGCATCCGCTTCTGCATCCCTCTCTCAGCCTGTCTCTAGCTGAAACCAACACCAATCCTCACAAAACTTTCTTCACTCACATTTCTTTTAACCTGCAACTTGTCCACCCTACCAACAAGCCCAGCCCACATTAATTTTTCCATCCAAGCCTAAAAACAATATCATTCCACATGTTTCTCCCTTCCAACTCATCTCAAAACAGCCTACTTACTTACAAACTTCAAATATGCAAACTTTATTTCCCCTCTCTCTCTATCATTACTATCAGTTAGTATCATTAACTGCTATTATTAATTACTAATATTAATATTAATATTGTTGCTATTATTATTATTCAGTAAAACTAAAAAAAAAGAGAAAGCAAAAAAAATAAGAGAGAAAAAAATGGTGTGGTCATCGATCTTTGTGCCCTCGACATCGACACAGTTGCCCCTCCATCACTCAGGTATAATGTCCCTAAAACTCAAAAGCCCTCAAATCCCGCTTTCGGCGCTCGCGGCGCACCAGGGAACCACCCATACATGCTTTCGTTGCATGGTGGGAGGGAGCCCGGTGCGGTGCTTGTGGCTAGGCTGGTAGGCCCTGTACATGCTCTCGTAGCGTAGCTGGTATACTCTTAAGTACCCGTGCATGTGCTTCTTTTGCCTGCGGGGAAAATTTGTGCATTTCAAATGGGTATCTCGAAGACCCATACACGCTCTTGTAGCGTGATAGGATTGAAGAACCATATCTGTGGTGTCGCCCAACACCTACTATATATGCTCTTGTTGCATTGTGGAAAGGCCCAACTCCTCAAGTTTCTCCTAAATGGTGGAGACGTTGGGAGGCTGCCAAAATTCAAAGCAAATATGGAGGACCTGAACTTGAATAAAAGCACTGGAGGGAAGGAAACTTAAATGAATTAGCAGGGAACATGACCTAATAGTCGACATAAAAATGCAAGATGAAATAAGAAGATTAAAATGTAAATATGCAAGCAGGGGACTCGTGGTGAATAGGCCCTCCGTGCTCACGAATGATGGGCGATGAAGTTTAATTAACTTGCAGTGCTTAAATAATTGCAAGCAGACATCAACAAGCAATATAGGCAAATACCTTGAACGCCACAAGCAATGAAAATTGACATGCAATGAGTGCAATGAATTGCCAACCAATGTGTGTTTGAAGAATTTGAGATGAATGTAGCTTGTGTACGGTTAATGATAATCAATTGCAAACAAGTATATTAAACTCCTACAAGCAAAGAGGGTTGATATTGCTATGAATTGTGATGAGTTATTAACCAAAGTACATTTGAGAAATTCAAAATGAATGTGGCTTACATACAATTAATGTCACAAACATATTAATATGCTTGCAAGCAATAGTGATCAGCATAAAATGAGTGTAGTTGTTCCCCTATGCTTAACAATCAACCAACTTGCAAATAAATACACTAGTTCACTTGCAGGCAACGACAATGAACGAACTATGAATGTGTTAAGTTCTCTATAGCCACACTCAAGAGGATGTTCTACAAACAAGGCGACATCCATACAACCAGACTCAATTGAGTTCTCAAGCAAATGCATCAACATCTTATGGATAGTTGAGCTTGATGTACAATTAATACAATATTGCCTAACTGCAAACAAGCACACCAAATTCCTACAAATGATGACAATCAACATGCATGGAAAAGTTGATGACGAATGCAGCTCAACCGATAATCAACATCAATCTGCAAATGAACAGATCAGCTTGCTTGCAAGCAGCAATAGTAGGTATTGCAAGGATGAAGGACATTTTGTGAATATGGACGTGCAATATGTCATTTACAAGAAAGGATCGGAGATCATGGCAAATACAAAAGAACTTCAACAAATACAGACACCTACGAGTCGTTGTAGGAGACTCGTCATGTATACGACATGCTATCCACTAGCAAATGCAAAAAAAATGTGATAAATACAAATGTCTATAGGCCACAACAAGAGATTTGTTAGTACACGACAGTCTACCTGCATATAGCAATAAATGATCCGTGATGTAACGTTACAATTCACCTGTAAGCAGAAGCAGTGAATTCGTAGTAAAAACTGCTGGACACTGATAAAATGAGGCAACAAATTCACAATGCCAGGCTGTCACATCACATAAATCAGTCTACTTGCAAGCTACAGGTAGGAGGCTCCTGACACGCAGCACAACTTATTTGTAAGCTGAAATACACTCCTACAAGCTAAGTACTGAAGAAAATGACAACATGCAGAAAACTAAGTGAGCTTGCCGATGTGCAACAAACAAAGCTTAATATGCTATTAAATCACACCACCGAATCCGCAACACTCATACAAGCGGATAGAATACATTTACAAACTTCTAAATAGAATGGTATGGAGTCTAAAAAATCTCTAATATCACTTGAGTCAAAAGATTTATAATATTTATTGATTATTGTACTCAAATGGTATGGATTTATATTATCAAATAACAATTTTATTCCAACCATATTCTCCCAACCTTTGTCACTATGATAACAAATTAATTTTGTGTCAACATTAAAAAGCTTGGGATCTACAATGCCCAAGATTATTTTAACTAAACTGTCTCCTTGTTTTAGCAAAGAAGATATTATTCATCAATCCTCATGTCCCAGCAACCTACAATAAAATGGGTTGGATGAAAGAAAAGAAATATACATCTTCTTGAGGTTATCAAGAATCTTCTCTTTTAAAATCAAGTTCTTAAAGGATATTGCAGAGAAGCTATCCAAACCTTAGCATATTTGATTAATAGAATACCTTCTAGAGTGATTAATTTCAAAAGTTACCTGAACTATCTCATTGAATTTTTACGTAAGAGTAACTTATTCAGAAGAAGAGTTTTTCTTAAAATACTTGGTTGTCTTATATAGACATTCATAAACAAAAACAAGATAAATTAGTCCTTAAAGCACTTTAGTGTATTTCTTAGGATATTTACAAACTCAAAAGGGTATAAATGCCATCAACTAATCACTAAAAATTATTTATATCAAAAGATGTCACATTTAATGAAAAATAATCTTCTTTAATCAGACTTATCTTTCGGGGAAGGGGAAAATCAAATAGAAGATAAGTATGATGACTTAATATTTTTTTCCTTGAATGAATCAGCTACTAATACACAGGAATGAAAATAGCTTAATCCCACGAAGATTAATTTTTTAGATTAATAAATCACTCTAGAACTATATAAGCACGAAGCCCATCCATACTTTCTTGGAAGTTCAAGACTCGGAACTTGTGTTTGGTAACTTTCCTACACCTTCTAACAATAATCTTGTTCAACATATCGCTATGCAAAAAGATATTGAGCATTCCTTAATAGCCATAACTCAGTACACATCATTTGAAAATTTCTCTCATGCTCATAAAGCCTTCTATATAAATATTAATACCAATGAAATTCCATGAACCTTATTTGTGACATTAGGAAATAATAATGAAGGTAGAGCCTTCAGATAAGGAATGCATACCTAAGAAAAGAATCAAAATTGAGAGACAGTTGAGCTACTTGAAGGATTGTAGGATGTAAGCGAATTTGTATATTAAAATATAAAGTTGATGGGAGCCTAAAATGATATAAACAATGTTAGTAGCAAAATATTATATCCATTCTATGAAATTGATGGATCGGTGGAGTCTGTGGGCCCCACTAGCAGGGACAGCATGCAAAGAAAGAGGGGGATCTAAAGGGGAACAAATTCACCTTTAATTAGTTACCATAGTTGATAAGGGTGAAAACAAGTGGGTCGAGGGCACTTCTATAATCTTGGACTTAGGCCCACAAGTATGAATGGGTAATTCTAAAGCCACCATTGTTAGTGGGACAATGAAATTGTCTTTGGCCATTTTTAAAGTAAGGAACTTCGTTGCACTCAACTTCATCTAATCCAACATCTCAAAAGAATCCCTCTTGTGATAATTTTACAGTACTATCATCCAAATAGGCCTTTGATTCAGATTATAAGGGATGTTATGCACAAGAAAATCATTATAGTCATGCAAAATTGAATTAGAAAAATGTGTTAATTATTTCATTTCTTTTTTTTTTTAGTATGTAGAATCCTTCACTATTCGGTCAATCTAAATGCAAGTGCTACCAGTTTGTGTTGTACTATACCTCTATGAAATATATCAAACATGATTTAAATTGTATTATATTATTAAAATGAAATCTGCATTGCTAAGGTATTAAGCACTAATGTACTTCTAGTAACTTAATGGTATTGGTATTGGAAATGATGCTGAGCGGCATTTGGTTAATTATTTCTAGTAACATAAATAGATGGTTTTTAGAATAACTTGGGTTTTGTCCAACTAATTACTTCGTCATTTATATGCTCAATCTTCTCAGCACTGCAACCGATTATGTTCTTTCTTCTACTTATATTTGTTATCTGAATACTGCAGGTGCCAGGAGACCATTCGAAGCTATTTTCATTTCACACTCGAGTTCTGAATCTGAGGAAACTTGCAAAGGGAATAAAAAAGATGCTGTATGTGGTCCAGTAATTGTAATCATCCATGGTGGTCCACATTCAGTTTCTTCTACCACCTATGCAAAATCGTTCGCGTTTCTCTCTTCACTGGGCTACAATTTACTTATTGTAAACTATAGGTGAGCCTGCATCTGCCAAATTTAACTCATGAAAGATTGAGTTTGTTATCAATTGTACAAGATTGTTAGACATTAGGTTGTTTGTATCACTTGTGGCACCATTTTATACATCTAATACCATGTCGATTCCCTAGTATTGAAATTAGTAATCTTATTCAAAAACTGGAATGAGGCTCGTCTAAATATAAATTTTAGAGTGCAGTCAGAAAATAATTTAACTTTAGACCATTATTAGCAACTGTGGTTTATTAGCCTTCGCATGTTTTTGTAATGTTTTCCTTAGTGGTAATGTCTGATTGTTGGAAAATATTCATGACAAAGGCTAGTTAAAAGTGGAGCACTTTTCCTAGCTAACTATAAATCTAGTCATATTCAATGTTTAAAATTACGCAATTGAGTATTGAGGCATTTTTCGTTCATGAGATGAGGCGTAAGTCTTAAGGTGTTTTGAGGTGTAAAGTTCAAAATCTAAAATTTTTGTAAACTAAAAATAGAAGTTTAAAGTGATTTTATTATATAATATCTAAATAATATGTTAAAGGATGACATATTAATTTTCTATTGAACTATGAAGTAATAAATTGACATATATATGAAATAAAAAATTACACAAGACGTAAAGTGGAAGTGATAAATTTTTTGAAATAGAATTGAAATTCAAATATTACAATAGCAAAATAAGAAAAAAATATAGGAATTACATAAAGTATCGTATAACATCAATTTAAACTCCAAATTCCTTCTTTTGCATTTCCCTACTTATCTACATTTAATTCTTAAAGAAAGCTAAAATAGTTGGCAACAACTCAGAAATCATTTGTATTTTCATCATTGCGGGGGCCTTTATTTGAATCATTGTCAAAACAAATTAATCTCCCCCATTCCTTATCCTATGTAGTCCAATGCTTCTAAATCTGCATCTTCTTTATTTATTTCATTCGTCTTCCAGTTTCATAAAAGTTTATCATCAACATAAAGATGAGAGTAAAACTGCAAAATTTTTAGAGGATATGGTGGAAGTAGTGTACGACTTCTAAGTGATCCCCAACAGTGGCTATGATAGTGGTGGCTGTGGCGGAGGCGATGGGCTAGAGGTCAAGACAGTTGAGAGGAAGCTATTGCAGCATGGGAGTGTATGAATGTGTGATTTGCTTCGAAGCTTTAGTTAAGTTTTAATAATAATAATAATAATTATATATATATAGGGTGAGGTGTACACCTCACACCAGTGAGGCAAAGCATTCCTCAACCAAACTGAGGCATACACCTCAAAAAAAGCTCGAGCTTTTTTCATTGAAATTGCACTGAGGCGAGCCTTAATCCGAGCCTCGTATTCCGCAATTTTAACTTATCAAGATCATTAGCATCATTAATCAGCTTTAGTATTATCCCAATTATTTGAGGTTGGTTTTTTGAAACCTAATTCTTTGTTCGTTCATTCCTACTAAATGTTTCATTAGTTATTAAACCTATTTTGCGCTATTCTTTCTATAGAATTTGATCTATGCATCATATTACGATTTGTCTATCATTTGACTATATGGTTAATGGGATGAGGGGATGAGGTTGTGAGGGAAAGATAATATTGCTAATGGGGTTGCAGTGAACTTGGTGTTGATGAAGTAGGTTGTCAACTAGGATGTCGTTGAAGAAGACAAATAGGAGAGGTTGGCTGATGAGGACATCAGAAATCTACGGCTACAATCGTGCCTATTTATTTTGATCTATTTTATGTATTTGATTTATTATTGTTCATTTTCCCTTTCTACCCTCACTTGAGGGCTTTGTCTTATGTATGCCCTAGGGGCAATTGTGTCTTTGTTATTTCCCTTTCATGTATTTGGCTATTTAAAGCCACCCTCTTCCTTTGGAGAGGTTAATGAATGAATGATAAGAAAATTCCTGCACATGTGCTCTTTGGAGAGTTGTGAGAGTTCTAGGAGAGAGCTTTGGAGAAATCCCTAGGGAGGGAAATCGGATCACCCACCAACCTTGGAGACGGCCGGGTTCGTGGTTCTTCTTCCTTTACCTTTCTTTCGTTCTTTTTTCCTTTCCCCTCCTCCTTCCCCCATCAAGCCACCAACATCCCCATTCAATCCCCAACCTCCTAGCCGTCGGATTCCCTAACCACAATCCATTTTGTCGCCGACCAACCCCCACCACCAAACCATTCAACCCACAAGCCCTATTCCAAACCGCCGGCCACCACTTTGCTTTCCCCTCCCTCATCAATTGCCATTACAACTTTCCTAAATTAGCCCTAAATATTTTAGGTAACTCATATAATTACAAATTCAAATCTATTTGAATATGAAATTATTACCTAAAATACAAATCCTCTTTTAGGAAAGTTTTCAAATCCCTTCCTATTTGAATTTTTAAATTAAATTGGGATGAGATATTTCTTCCCAAATTTAATTCC